CATCAGATATTGTCCAAGATTAACCTTCAGGGTGGATATAGCTCACTAGCAGCCTTGCACCGAGGACCTATCGTGTAAAATAAATTTTTTTAAATTTTGTTTAAAATTTACAAAACTAAACAGCCTACAGTATTTTTAAAGTCTTTTTTATACAGTTAAAATAAATATTTATCAAATAAAGTCTAATGTTACAACTAATCATGGATCCCTTTAAAGAGTAGTACTGCAGAACAAACAGGCAGTGTTTTAAAAAGGAAAAATTAGCTGTAGGCAAAGCTCTGGTTTTTGTTTTAAGTGTCCAGAATTGATTCAATTAGAGGTTTTACACTGGTGTACCAGAGAGACATTATATTTAAACAGAGCATTAAGCTGTGTAAACTCAAACCAGCTGGACCTATTACACTTCTTACAGTATGAATGTTGGTCTACAGGTTAAGCAGAAATGTATCCTGCGACAAGAGTTTACTCCTTTATTAATATCCTCACACAACTTCTAAAACCTGAACACTATGATCCTCACACTGTGAACCACACATACAAACATAAATAAGAACTCACACACACGCACCTTTTTGTAGTATTGAGGTCATGTGTTCTCCTAAAAGCTGTTTCTCAATGCAGTTAATGAGAGGCTTCCTGTGAAAAACAAGAGACACATTGGAGCTGGAACCAACGTAAACATGTACATTACACCACTATTTTAGGGAAAATTACGTCCATCTCATCTGTCATTTCAAAGAACCTTTTCAGTTTAAGGAGCACGTAATGAAAAAGTTCATACTTTATACTACATTTTCACCTGTAAAGCTCTTTAGTTTTTAGCTGAGGAAAAACCAACAAATGTTCAGTTAGAGCTGGTGGTTTTTTATTTAAACTGTTTCTTAATGATTGAACTGTAAAGCACTTTGTTCAACTTTTGTTTTTAATGTGCTAAACAAATAATAATAAAAAATAAATAGAAATCAACATCAACAAATCTAAACCTTCGAGCTAAAACGTGTTGTAGGCACGGATTCAACAGCAGTTCTACAAAATTGAACTTTTAGCTGCTGTTTTTCCTAGTTTTAGGTTGTTTTGCTGGTTTTGTCCTTTAGAGACTGTGCTGATAATTAAGCTATTAGCTACTGTTTTATAGTTTTAGCTTGTAGCTACAGTTTTGCTTGTTTTAGCTTTTAGCTACTGTTTTGCCTTTTAGTGACTGTTCTGATAACTATCTTTTAGTTGCTGTTCTGCAAATGAAAACGTTTAACTATGGTTACGTTAGYCTTAGCTTTTGGCTACTGTTTTGATGTTTTTGTATTGTAGTGACTGTTCTGATAGCTTAAACCTTTAGCTACTGTTTGTCTGGTTTTAGTCTTTAGCTACATTTTTGCTTGTTTTTGATTTAAGCTACTGTTTTGCTGGTTTTGACTTTAGTGACTGTTCTGATAACTATCTTTTAGTTGCTGTTCTGCAAATGAAAACGTTTAACTATGGTTACGTTAGCTTTAGCTTTTGGCTACTGTTTTGATGTTTTTGTATTGTAGTGACTGTTCTGATAGCTTAAACCTTTAGCTACTGTTTGTCTGGTTTTAGTCTTTAGCTACATTTTTGCTTGTTTTTGATTTAAGCTACTGTTTTGCTGGTTTTGACTTTAGTGACTGTTCTGATAACTTGAGCTGTTTGCTGCTGTTCTGCTAATTTTAGCCTTTAGCTGCTGTTCTACTGGTTTTTGCTTTTAGTTGTTGATCTAGTTTTCCATATTTTTTTAGCTTTTGTTTCGCAAATTTTAGCTTTTAACATAATTAGCTTTTGATAAATTAGCTTTTCTGGTTTTAGCTTTTAGCTAATGTTGCTAGTTTTGTCGTATAATGGCTGTTCAGACAATTTTAGCTATTCGCTATTGTTCTAGCTGTTTCAGCTATTGGTCTGCTGGTTTTACTTTTTAATTTTTTAGCTTTTGTTTTGCTGATTTTAGCTTTGCTATATTTAGCTTTTAGAGTTTAATTGTTTTAGCTCTTGTATTGATATTTATAGCTTTTGTTCTGATCGTTTCAATGTTTTAGCTTCAACATATTTTGGCGGCCAGGARGAAAATCAACCTTTTTGTTAACGACTCGCTGAAACGACGGCGTCRTKGCTGTAAACCTTACTGAGTGCTCTGGTCCAGGTAGCTGACGATTCGGTCGTTCTCCTCTTCCAAGCGGCGAGCCACGTGGTGCAGATACTCCGGTACCTGAACAGATCGACACACATTCAGTTCCACCGTGCCGCGGAGCAGCACACAGATGATTCACTGTGATCACATGAACAGAGCCATTAGTCGTCTCGCTCACGTCTCTCTCCTGCATCAGACGCTGTCCCTCAGCTGCGTAGAGACGATTCGTCTCAGTCAGAAATCTCTCCTCAAAGGAGCCTTTATAAACCTTTAAAAGAAGCGAGACAGCTGGTTGACCGGAACAGAGAGTTTCGGTGATTTACTGATGTGGGTGAACAGGTCGGTACCTGCAGGTCCGACAGCATGCCGAGCAGGCTGCGCAGTAGACTGCGATCAATAGTCTCTCCGTTCCGCTCCAGCTCTATCTGCTCCAAAAGGCYTTCCACCGTTCGCTTCTGGACGGCGCCGTCGCTCACGATGTGGGTGCGAAACAGCTCCAGCCCGGTGTCCCTGCACAACGCAGAAACCGTCAAAGAGCTTCCCAACAACCAGGACCACTCCAGACAAACTAGTTTTACCAGATGGAGGGAAGCAGGGAGTTCTGAAGCACGTAAGTACGATCCAGGAAGAGGAAGATGCTTCGGATCATTATCTGCACACGGGAAAATTTAACTTATTAGATCATTAATACTTAAATCTGTTTTCCTGAATGTGTAAAACTCTTCTCACTCACAGTTTGCCTGCAGTGGTCCTGCCAGCAGCGGTTCATTCGCTTTAGGAAGGAAAGGTTATCCAGAGACTCTGTGAGCTCCACGTTAAAGAAGTTTAATACTGTCACATCACCATCTAGGATCTTCTTCAGGGATGGGCAACTGGAGGCCCGCGGGGCCAGACGTGGCCCGATAGGATGGGCCTAATTTTATTTGATCTTTTTCAGGGTTCCTACAGCTTAAGGAAAGTTAAATTTAAGACTTTTTAAGACCTGTTTAATGTTTACTAACTTCACAAAAAAAAAAAAAAAACCCAGTTAGCGACAATTTTAGCCAAATGTTTATTTTACACAAAACAAGTTGCCGAAGGAATTCAGTAACTTACTTAAAAAGATAAATAAATGTTACAAATTATTTTAATATTCAAGATGAATCATCCTACTTACAATCTGTTGACATTTTTAAGACCTTGGATAGATTGATTTAAGATATTTTAAGACTAATTAAGGCCTTATTTCTGGATTGGTGAATTCAATGCCTTTTAAGACTTTTTAAGGATCTGCAAGAACCCTGTTTTTAATTTTTGGGGGGGGAGGTAAAATATTTGTTCACAGAATTTCAAGGCAAACATTTGTGTAGACGCTGTCTGCTAGAAAGGATTTTAATATAAGTCGCCAGTACAACATATTGCACAAAGCTAAATAYGAGAAGTTTACCGAAACTGCAAAAACATAAACAGCGACTTTTTACCAGAACCATGCAGGAGTCTGCACTCAAGGTACTGTACGCCGTTGCACTTCAGCTTGCTAAAGTTTTTAATTTTGGTTTACTTCAAATGTTTTGTATTCAGATTAAACAAGAGTACAACTGTTATACAAGAATTTAAACATGCAATATGTGAAGTTCTTGAAGGTTTAATGAACATATACTGTAGATGTACATATACAAACATTTTTAAAAAGGCAGTTTTTGATAAGCGTGCAGCACTATGTCGCCCCCTCCATCATTGAAGTTGCCCATCCCTGATCTATTTTGAAAGATATTTTAAAACTGTAAATGCCCGAGTTAARTTAGGAAATGTTTCTCCAGGTTTGTTGGACAAGAACTCACAAAAAAAAAAAGGATATTCTCTGAACTGGTGGATCTGGGCCTGAACGTGGTCCTCGCAGACCTGGCGCAGCTGCTTGTACAGCGTTGGCGAGACTTTGTAGGAACACAGGTTCTCCACCGCCTTTTATTGAGACGATTCATCACAGACGTGGAGAAAATGACAAGAACACACAAAACACAAGACATATTTATATATTTATAACCAAATAAATCATCTCAAACACTTTGTTTTATTCTGTTTCATTTTGGTGACGGGGCGCCTCCAATAATGGTAGGGGAAACGCTGCACGATACGGTCATGCTTATTTACATCAGGCAGGTTTTCAGAGCTCTTATTACAACACATGGTTGAAAGCTTGAGAAAACAGACCAAATGTTGTGCTTTAAGAGACTAACCTGGTAGAGCTCYTCCAGATTGTATTTGATGGAGGTGCTGTTCTGGATGGCTCCCACYGCATCTCGAAGCTTTAGCCACGTGTCCTCCGTGTAGTTCTCAGCTAATTTTGGCCTGTCTACAAAACCACAACCAAAAATTAATTTCAGGGGTGTTTCCATATTAGACGTTTACTAAAACACCACAAGAGGTTCATCAACAGAGGAAGCTTTGTTTTATAACTGCATCAAAAACATATAGATTCAGTAAAAGTTCATCTTCAAAGTTAATATTAACTGACAGATTCCTAAACTTAAAGTAAATGTCGAATAAGTTTCATTTTATACTCAATAATTAAACGCATTAATGTCTACTGTGTGAAACGTTTTGTTTTTCTTTGGTTGAACTAAATATTCTTCTCATCTTCATTTCAGAGTTGACTGAAAATACACTAAACAGRCAACACTTTCTATGGCATACAGCACAAGAAAGTTGGTAAATAAATATTAATCAGTTTGGAAACTATTATTTGACACGTTTCACTAACATCCTTTTTGGTTTTAACTACAATGCATGAGTTAAAATTTAGCAGATGCTTCTACACATCAAGGTTAATTTCTTTTTCCTCAATATGAAGTTCCTTAAAATGTTTGGAATCTTATAACCACTCAKATATTTATAAAACATTTCATGATCTAAGTGTTAACTGTCAAAAACAAGCTCTGTTAAATGCACTAATTCTAAATTCCAAAAGACTTTTATGAATAAATATATTTAAATAGAGGTCAAATTATATTCTTTTTTTGGCTGATGTCAAACTTCAGAAATCAGCGCAACCAATATCGGATTTACAACGCCAGTTATTTTGGTCAATATGTGTTTCAGTTGTTTAAATTAAATAAAGATATTTGTGACCCACCACATCGAAACGAAGATTAAGTCCAAAAGTGGAATATGGAGAAACAGGCAGATATAAGGTTTTGATTTAAACGTCTGGAAAATTAGAATTTTGACAAAATATAATGGTTTAATGCCTTATTAATGTATCATTTGAATGAACTGTCTGAAATATAATACTAAAAAATAATTTTTAGAAGCATTTTTTGAGCAGCACCAACAACAACCATGATTTTGTGGAAAAACGCCKTAAAATTTTGAATTTTTCCCTGTGAGCTAGCAATGTTTTTGTTTCTTTCCAACTGGGAAATCTTAATATGCAAATACTATGTCAGGTTTCCTCTTTATATTGACATMAAAAATGACTCAATAAATTTACAAAAAATTAGGATTCAGACCAAACAGTAATGTATCATCGTAACCAAAAAGACAAATTAAATAATATCACTGGATAAGCTTATATCAGAATGATCCAGGTGTCAAAATGTAGCTTTTATAGCAGGAATCTGAAAATGTAATTAGGTCATTTTGACAAAATTTGACTTAATCCTCATTTCGATATGATGGGTCACATTTAAAACAACCCATAGAAGAACTTGTACACTAAATATTACACAGAACATTTGTGCTTTAAAAAGCCTAATTGTGGGCTGTACAACAGCTGCTGAATCTTTGATTTCCTAATTGGTAATTAGGCATAAGTATGCGCAATTTCATGGTCAGGGTTTCACATAAATTTTTTGGTCTGGTTCTCAGGGGAGAGAACCTGACAGAGGGGTGTCAGGGCATTTATTATCGTCCTGTTCTGTTTTATGACGCCTTCTATCAGCTGGCAATGTCTCGGGACAACATGCCAAATCAGAGGTTTTTTATTTTTAWTTTTTACTCTGCATATATTTTGTAAACTACCTAAGTGGCCAATGGGCTGACCCATGGTCATATGTCATCTCAAACTGAACATTTCATGTTTAAATGTCTGTTAGATTACACGTGACCCTGCCTTGTTTAAACCAGCTTTCCACTCTCTCCAGACCAAGCAGCAAATATCTGTCTTTTGATCAGAACAAATGTTTTATTTGTTAGGCTGGTTTCTTTTTTTAAAGACTATTTTATTCAAAAAGATTATATTTAGATGGTTTCAGCTCATGTAATCATTTAAAATAATTTTTTCTTCATATTTTATCATTTACTGAATTACATTTATTCCAGAGCAGTTGTGTCACAGTATGAYTCTAAATATAAACAAGYTTAGCACATCACGAACCTTGTTGTTTCCATAAAATTGCTGAGGCGCAAACCAGTCTCTCAGGAGGAGAGTTTAGTCACTGACGCAAAGTTGGACAGATCTGTTTGATAACGACGCTCTGAACATATATTTAATAAAGTTAGGTTTTTACAGACCAAAGTCTCTGGTAGTTCGGGAGCAAAGTGCAGGAGGAGATGTCAGGACTGATCGCTGCAGCTGCTGCTTCCACTGTCTCTGCTGAAAAACAGCTCTCACTCAAAGTCCCGCCCTGCTCTGCTCTGATTGGATAAAACAGCTCTGGAGTTCATCTGATTCGTTGAAAGCAGTGTCCGTTTAATCCTTATAAGTCAGGGTCCCGCTGACCTCTGACAGAACGACAATCCAGTCGCACCAGTGAGGCTTGATTTTTAGTTTTGTTTTTAAGAAATCAGGTCACATTTGCGACTCTGCTAGTTGTTGTTTTCACAATCTCAGGTATAATCTTAGGTACGCAAGGGAGCTTTATGTCATTCCATCTGGTGCGCTTTTTCTTATTTGATCGCACATGTGCACCCACAAACCACTTATGTGCATCTCTGTTCATGGTCTACCTCCAATTAAAATTAAAACTAATTCCACTTTTACATATATTATCATCAAAACAATAAAACAACAAATTGTGATTTTGAATGTTGTTGTCAAGTGATTTTATGACTATTTCTAATGGAACGAGTGAGTATTGTATTTTTTAAAGATGTGATAGAAGAAATGCAGGCAATTCTGGTAGAAAAAGTCGTAATTTGACTTGGAATTATGGTAGGGGCTTTGATAAATGCGCTGCCTGATCCCAGCAGTGTGTGGGTCAGGGTTTTGTGATTTTTTTTCCACTCGTTTTCTTGCTTACACTCCGCTTAGCATTTTGAAATCTATCTTAAGGTTTTATCTAGTTTTTTTTCTGCTTTAATTTTAAAAATCATTGCGAAATTATGACATCCACTATCTATGGAGCTCTGCACTTTTTTAATGTTAGAATGGAAGTCAATAGAGCACCTGCTTCCTAATTATCAGCCTTTAAAGACCTCTAAAACCTTAATGGGTGGTCCAATTAAAAAAAAAAAAACTAAATGGTTTTGGAATCTGTACACATAGCCTTACGAGTACAAAAAGGAAAAACGGCTCTAAAATAAGTTTGATTTTTTTAAAATCAAAGTCCCTAATATCATCAACACAATAAAACGATAAATTGCGATTTTGAAGGCTGAAAGTTGTAAAGTGATTTCATGACTATTTCTAATGGAATAAGTGAGTATTGTTTTATTTTTTTAAGATGTGATAGAAGCAATGCGGGCAATTCTGGTAGAAAAAGTCATAATTTGACTAACAATTAGGGCTGCACAATATATTGAAAATTTATTCTCACAATATCAAACTATCGAAGAATTTGCATCCATTAATCAAATAAACCTTTACAGGCCTTGATGCTACGGGTGGACTGGCCATTGGAAGTACCGGGACTTTTCCAGGTGGGCCGGTGCATCACTGGGCCGGCGCAGGGAGCGAGGAAAAAAAAAGTTGTGCAGTTGCCCTGAATACCAGTAGATGGCGATAATGCACCAACTCATTGTTTACCAACCACCAACAAAGACCGAAGAAGAAATGTTTGCTGACGAAGAAGAAGAAGAAGAAGAAGAAGAAGAAGAAGAAGAAGAAGAAGAAGAAGAAGAAGAAGAAGAAAACAAATAATAAAAATAAGAGCAGAAACAGAGAATAAACATAAGGGTGGAGAACAAAAATTCAGAGAAAAGAAAATGCCTCTACAAGCAAATTCAGCTAAGTGTCAGAAACTGACATTTATTTTCTGCTGCCTGGTGCATCATCCTCCTCATCCTCACTGGAACCTAAGTCTGGAGAACAACGTGACTGGGAGGAGGATGGTAGTGTTGTCATGTAGGTGTATTTGTATGGAGGACCAAACCTATCATTATTGGAAATAAATGTATAAATTGGCCGAGGTCTAGTTTAAATTAGACCTCGGCCAATAGGCGAGAAGCTGGGGCGGTGACGCTTTTCTTAAGACCGCCTCCTCTGTTTTTACATTCCCTGCTGCATGTGGAGCTGGAAAAGACAATACAGCCAGCAAGAAATGTAATAAAAAGAGATGAAAATAAAT